TTGCCTCCTGAAACCCCGCCCCTTCACCAAAATGGCCGTGCCTAGCCTTTAAGAGGTTTTCAGAGTGCTCCTGGGGGCTGGGGGGGGCAAAATTGAGCAAAAAACGGGCTTTTTTTTGCTCATTTCTGCCCTCCCCAGCCCCCAGGAGCACTCTGAAAACCTCTTAAAGGCTAGGCACGGCCATTTTGGTGAAGGGGCGGGGTTTCAGGAGGCAAAAAATGCTGAATTCAGTGTATAAGACGCACCCAGTTTTTCAGCCTCTTTTTTGAGGGAGAAAGGTCCGTCTTATACTCCGAAAAATACAGTATCTTTATCATATTTAACAACTGGGATGATAATGGAAGGGATGCAGGTTTTGCTGTATAGAACCTGCTTGACAGATGTATTGAAATGTAGAATATGAGCCTTTGTTTCTATTCTTAACTCTGTACTCCAAATAACTTTTAAAAGTTAATTAAGTGAACAAGGCTATAGATTATCAATTAACATTTAATGCTTTTTCATAAATGGATTATAGCCTCTGGTTTTCAAGCATAAATAATCATAAAAGTTCTCCCCAAATCCAGTAAATAATATTCAATAAGGAGAACTAAGGGTATACCTCTACAATATGCCTGTGTATTAAAGCTCTCATTACAACATAAATACTGTATGTACATATAGCCAGTGCTTTGATGTGGAATATACTAATTGTGAGGTCTGACAGTGTCATGGGGAGATGACTGGGTGGAGTGTTGATCATTTACTGTGTAAGTTTCTCAATACCTTTAATTTAGCAATGGATGCTGATTTCAACTTTTGTGCAGGAACTATAGAATAATCATACCACATTGGCTTGATTTGAGTGGAAAGTACATAAACTGTAGGGAACTTTTTTTCCCTGTGGCATATGCAATAATAATTGAATTACCAAAACACTGTGCCCTATATTTGCATGTCTATATTTGCTGCAAGAAAGAAGTTTGGTTTCAAGTCCCACAGCATAGCCAGTCACCCCGGTTCAGAGACTCTATCACCTTGCACTTTGCCAGCTCTGTAACTCCCAGCTGATCTCGTATTTTTTCTCCCCAAGCTGTTCTTTGTGACACAGCTACTGGCTGTGCAAGGCCTTCCTCGGGTCATGTATGTCCTTCTGTAAATTGTAAATTTTGAAGCCTCACAGGATGGTCATGCACAGTTCAGGAAGAAGGCCTTGCCCAGCCAGCATCAGCCTTGAGAAGGATCAGTCTGAGCGCACCTCGTCAGCAGAACGAATAAGATGGCAAAGTTCAGCTAGTACAGGGGTGTCAAACTCGCAGCCCGTGGGCCAGATGTGTCATGTGCTGGCCACGCCCACACCCAGTTTAGCAAAAGAGAAAAAAGTTGCGATATGTCATGTGATGATATAAGTTTGACACCCCTGAGCTACTGGAATCAGGGTAACAGAAGCAGCAGAGTGTAGGGTGGCCCAAAGGGCAGAGATGGGCTGGGGGGAGGACATGGGTAGGGGGAGGTGAAGAATTTCTGTGGTTGTAAGGGTAGGTACCAAGTACCCAAATTTTGATCAGATAATTGCAGAGGCATTGTAACTGCTGTAATTTTGGAAAGTAATTTTATATAAAAGGTCAATGTAATGTAGTGGTTGAAGGCACTGGATAAGAAACTGGGGGACTGTGAGGTTTGCTTAAGGCACAAATCCAACTGGATGATCTTGGCCAGTCACTCTCTCTGAGCCCTGGTAAGAAGGCAGTGGCAAGCTGCTTCTGAAAATCTCACCAAGAAAACTGCCGGAAGTAATTCAGGCCATCTCTAGAAGTAAACACTGACTTAAGCATTAAGAAAAAAGGTTACCATAAGGAAGAAATATTTTTGAACACCATAAAACTAAAATACAGCACCCAATCAGATGGGATGAAAATGAAAAAGAGCTTTCATAAGAGCTTCTAAAGGAGGTAGGTAGGATTAGTTTTTGTAAGATTACATAGCTGGGTATAATAGAAAAATCTGTGAAATAAATGATCAGTATACTTAGGAATCAGTTAGCATAAATATTCCTAATAAAACCTGTTGTTAGAACCCTTTAAAATATTTAATACTTTACAAGTTCTAGGAATTTATTCACTTGGTGACAGGTGACCCACGTTTGAGCTTTGGTTCTTTTAATGTGCTTTAGTTGACTACATTTCTGTTTTATTTATTTGTAGGTTGTATACTTCCCTGCTTATTTGTTTTATTATGCTGGTAGGGACTATTTCTCTGTCCTGAGTGAACTGTCTAGCTTGTGGTAGACTATCTTGTGATGATGTTACTGAATCTAATAATTTTTCTTCCTTTGTTTTTAGATTATGGCTGTGATATGGAAGATGACGATGGGTATTAAGCCTTTGTGTCTCCAAATGGAAATTGTGGGAGAAGCCACTGGTAGTAAAAACAACTCTTCCTGCCTCGGAAACAAAGGTTCTGTTTGCTGCGGATTCCTCTCAGTTTCCCTTGACCAACAGGCAGGCACTGGAGCTTGACTTTTGAATACTTGAAATGTTTCTGATTTGGATCATGACATAAGAAAAAGATTAACTGAAGCATCACTTCCAGAGATGAAAGAAGAGCCAAATCGCTACCCAAACTTCCTTTGGACTTACCATGTCCTGGATTCAAATATATATATATTTGAATCAGCACAAATACAACATATATATATATATATGTATGTATGTTATATTTGTGCTGATAAATAAATAAAGGGAGACTAGTATAGATATATATATATGTAAAATATGTACAAAGAAGAAGAATTGTTACAGAATGCTAGACTTTTGTGTGAACATATTTGAGACTTGAACTTTTTTTTTAATTAAACATTTTTGAGTTGCATTGTTTACATTAATAGGATCCTCAAAGCAGAAGTTTGTTTCTGCTATAACATCCATATTTTCATGCTTCAGGAATGGTGAATCATATCAAAAGGGGCAGACAGCTTCCTCTGGAAACAAGTTCAAATGTATTCTTTGTTTGTTTGTTTGTTTGTTTGTTAATATTATCCTAGGATCAGACCATTGCTTGCCTGTAATCTCTATGTCAGTATAAGACAGCAGTTATATTTCTTGTTTTTAATTCCTTAGAAAAAGTTGCTGTATTAGAGCAGAGACCTCATGGGTGTTGCTGTTGTTCAAAGCTTCTTTGCAAGGCGAGTTTTTTGGTGTTCCAAAAAAATTAAGCTTGGTGTAAGCTTCTTTTACACTCACAGCTACTATTAGAGACAAGGCAAGCAAAGGCTAGGCTGAGGACAGAAGGAAGGAAAGCTCAACAAGCTAACATCTGACACTCTTTTATTTCTGCCTGAGGACCATTTCACAAGCTTTTATGCCCCATCCCAGGTTTTTTTTTTTTTAATTGTTAAAAACAAGATGATATCTCAGGGCAATTTCTGTCCTCTTGGCAGAAGTGTCAGATTTCTCTCCAAGATAATGTCGTTGTTTTTTTTTAAGCAAGTAGTTTGAACTATTTTTATTCTCTTTGATGTAAAGTAATTTTATATTTTGTAATGATGTCATTAAGGATGTATTTATAGCTCAATAGTGGAAGAGGCTCATCTATCACTATTTTATCAGTTGATCAGCTGGTATAACTAGCACCCTGAGAAATATAAAACAGACTAGTAGTTTACCCACTTAAATTGTGTAAGACAGATTTTTCTTGATTCTCATACTCCCTGGACTATAAATTAGCTCTGGTTCCTGTGACATTTTTGTACCACTACATTTATTTGTTATTAGAAGCAGAAGCATTAATAACACTTTTCATATTTTGTTGAACAAACAAAGTAGCTTTATGGAAAATAGTTTTTTCCTGTTTAAATGAAAGACACCCAATTTTCATGTTGATCTTTATATTAGCCAAACTACCTCTTTTTGCCACTGCTTAACTATACCAACTCAAAGTGGGATGATGCTTTTATTTCATCCACTTGAAGAATGAAGTGGAAACCAATTTTTTCCCTTTGTTTCCAAGACCAAGATCTCAAATGACAAACTGTGTCTTAAATATACTGCTTCAGTTTGCAAATTGGAATTCCCATGAGGAAATGGCATTCCATGCAAATGATCCTTTCCAGATAGGCAACTTAGCATAGTAGAGAGAAATGCTGGCCTTTTTTTTTTTTTTTACACAAAGAAGCTTTCAATCAATGAACACTTCACACTTAGACTGGCATACTTGGGCCAGTACAGATTTATCACCTTATTAAATTAAACTCAAGGTGCTGGTTAAAAGGTTAGCAATATGTACAATAAGAAAAAAAATGTGGCTAGTCCAGTGAACTATTCCTGTGTGAGGAGCATTTATCTTGGCACTGAATTACTATATTAGTACTTGTAAAATTACAACTCTTTTTTCAATAATACTTTGTCCACTTTTACTCTGAAAAAGATTGTTATGGTAACATAATTTATTCATTGCTAAAGGAACAAGGAAAACAAATGCTTTTTTGTAAGCACTGAATTAGGAGTTTGCCAACAATTAGCTTGAGCAGCTGCTGCTTTGCCTGATGGCAGGAGATGAGAAACCTGTATCCCTCCAGAAGTTGCTGAACTACAACTTTTGGCAGCCCCAGCCAGCATGGCCAATGATGAGGGATGCTGGAGGCTGACACCATCTGGAGGACCACAGGTTTTGCATCTCTGTCTCATGAGTTCATTTCTTTCCAAACAGATGTTCCCAAAAAGGTAATACCTCTAGTCACTGCATTTGAGAAAATGAAAGTCTTCTTAGAATAGAAATTGCTATTGCTTCAAAGAAAGTATGTTGGCAGAGGGGGAAAAAACCTACACGCATATGAAATTCATAATTTTGGAATCAGATGTAACTTAATAATGTTTGTGTCCCAGATCAATTTCATAATAATCACATCAGACACCCAATTGTACCCATGTGGTTGGGTTCTCCATGCAGCCTGGCAAGTGTCTTTTTCTGGTGTAGTTCTTCATAGCACAGATTGACCCCATGGAGTTGGCTATGCATTGTAACCAGTTCAATTACAGATCTGAAGTACAAGTTACAAAACTGGAAGGGGTGGAGCCAGGACATCATGAATAAACATGCAATAGACCCTTCATAATCAGAGTCTGAGTGGATCAGGGTTGGCCTTCAACTATAATCTCACTTAAGCATTTTTATTCTTGTTGGGTTGCAAAGTAAGCCACAAAAGAAGTAGAATTGGGAGTGAAATCATTCTTGTAGGGACTTGTAATATTAAACTCTTTATCCTATTTAATTTTCTAATAAAAATGCTGTTTTAAGGAATGTTTATATATGATTGTTTGCAATTTGTTCTTGGAAGCCATATCTTCCTTTTGCATCACTGTTCTGTTAATTCTCTCTGTATTAACATCCAAGCCTCTCATCTTCTTTTTTTAAAAGATAAAGAAATGAGAGAGCCAAGAATTGGTCTTAAATAGTTTTGCCCATTGCATACTAGGGTAATTGTTCAGCTTCATAATTTTCTTAAACTGAGCCAATCAATAATATCTATTCAGTCAATGACCAGCAAAAATTTAAAAGAACAAAAACAGTGAAGCTAATAAATACAATAATATAGTAACAACTCACAGAATAAATCTATACAATTCTGACTATCTCATGTTCTCACTCATCAGATTTAAATGTAATATACAGTACTTTTGTTGAAAAATGACAGAATAGGTAGAAGTATGTAGTTGAGAGAAAAAGCATTTTTGTAACTTAATTATGTGTTTACCGCAAATGAAACCGTATTCTGAATTTCATACACTATCTGCTATTTGCCCACAAATAGCATTTTAATGTTGGGTCTAATAGAAGGAATACTGTTGACTCTGAAAATCGCTTAGAGAGGGCTGTAAAAGCACTGTGAAGCGGTATATAAGTCTAGTGCTATTACTATTGTGAAGTCAAATATTTAAGTATTGGTATTTTAGCAGGTAAGGAACAAAGCTGAACCTTTTCTTTCTTGTGGAGATACTGATGCAAAACACTTATTTGAAGCTCTTATTTCCATGTGACACTTTTAGAACTTTCATTGACACTTTTAGAACTTTTCTTTCCAATGTAAATAGCAGCTCTGGAATAGCGGATTTTCATCAAGATTGTAGCAAGGAAAAAAGTTAGCCTTTGCAATCTGAATCAGTTCTTTTTTAACTCCTTCCCAAGGGGTTAAAAGTAGATCCCAAGATCTACTACTTTGTATTTTTAAAAAGTAACCAAAATTTCTTTAATATCCTGTCTAATTTTGTATTGAATTCAGTTCTTTTTTTTTTTTTAATAAACTGGAGATAATGAAAAGGTCACAAGAAGGCCAACAGTTCAACATCTATTAGATCCATCCAGTCCAGTAATGGTATCCTATTTTCTTCACTACTGGTTCGTTA